CATCAGCAACGTCACCAAGCTTCTCAGTTAGTGAGTACATGTTAGCCGGTCATCAACAGTCATTAAACTTGCTACATCTTTATTTGCACGTGCCGCTGCAATTATATACAACACGTATGGTAGAGGTTTCAAATCTTTTCTGACTCCATGGTGCGGGAATAATAGCGTTTGTCATCAACTTTATCTTCGACTAATCCACAATGAATTTATTGTCCAACTGTTCTTGTATATAGTACATTAGACAGTCAGTAGCTCTGGCTCTTCCTGAGCTCATGTATTTGTGCTTTCATCTGTCCGAAAGCCATGCGATAATTGCTAGGCCGATGTGTGGATTTAATTTCCATGTAACCTACCCCAATACAGTCCATCTTTATATTTGACAGTGTCCAATATTGGTTATAATTCTAGACTCTTGTGGGCTTGGTTTATTTACATCAATACCTATCGCATCTAAATCCCACAACTTATCAACTGGTCATGCATTTCTACCAGTAATGATAATTTTTGGCTGTGTACATGATCAGCGTTATTCTCGTAACTAGTACATTTCCACTGAATCAATAACAGCTTTCTTCCCACTTTGAGAGGGAATGGGACCACATAACATGTGGCCCTCCGGCTGTTTTCAGCAAGTAACCTCATGTTTACTTACTATATTTTGCACAAAACATTGATAATAAATCACTTTCCAATGATTAAATCAATTGGACTAATGTGGTCCGTCTTATGTCAGGACAGGCTAACATGACCTAGCTGCATTTCAGTGCTGTAACTGTTTTCTTTTAATCCCGGATCTGCACAGACTTAGCAAATCATCTACTACCACAGCTTCTACGTCTTTTTCCTGTGTCCTAACCAACATGATTATGGCTAGGTCAATGTTCTGTTTACCAGAATTGTGGTAAAAAACCAGCTATAACTAACAGTATTTTGGCATAGGGTTGTTTTATTCAGTTTTCTGCAACACTGATCTTCTTTATGAAGGATCCTTTGTGAGCTGTAATCAATAGTGCTTAGCACATGTTTTAGTGTATTTATTAATAACTCAACTCAGGCTATCGGGAGAGCAGTTGCTTTAAATAAACTTATTCTCACATTTAATGCTGTTGCTTGTAGACTTCCTGATCTGTGGAAGAGCTGCTGTTCAGCCAAAGTATTTGGCATTAATGCTGTAGGATGCATACCCTTGCATGTTAAAACACTTCTTTCGAGTGAGCATTTACCTACCTCCCTATGTTCACCTAAACACTTGATGCATCTTTCAGCTTGATGAACACGTTTTTTACGTGCCACCATTGATGTTATTGACTACAATACGGTGCCAATGTGTTCCGTCACCAAGTACACCATTTTGATACGTTTATGTGTGACAGTCTGTTTACTGTCTATTGTATCACAGCTTGAAAAATGCCTATTTTGGCTTTCCCAATTATGTGTTTAGCTGAGTAGTTTTTATAACTCTTTTTTATACTGAGATTGAAGGTTGTTATCCACTGGATTTGTGGATTTTCATCTGTCTCGTTGCTTGCATGCATGAAACCATTGTTTGTAAACCATTGCTAATTCCTCACAAGTGAAAATAGGCGTTTTATTGAACATAAATATTTAATCGTTCAATAGTTTGTGGTGACAACTTTCTTGTGTTGCAATACCACTGATAAACCAATCACATGTCTTAGTCATAATTAGCACCTAGATATCTGAGACATTGTCAAATGTAATTCTAAATGCTCTGTAAGTCTGAATAACAATGTTTGGTGGCTTCAAGCTTGATATAAGACGGCTGTCTAACTCTGGCCTTGTCAGGCATCGAAGTATTTGTCTGCTAAGACACGTAAGGCTATATTGATAATTAACCTTTAACCACCGAAATGACTTACACATTCATAGGTTCTCCTACCATGACATTTAAATAATTAATCTTAGCATCTCATCTATGTCAGTTCGGTGAATTTACTATGATGAAAACACTAATGAATTCTTTCAAATTAATGACCATGAACAAACAGTTTGACAATGTAGTAATCTTGGTAATGGGAACACTTGTGTTGTTGTTAAGTTAACAGTTTTGACCATTAGTTAAGTATCTCTGTGACAGAGTTTTAACGGCAGATACCTGTACTCCTGTCCACCTTAATTGTGATCACTAAAAGTATCCAAAACGATTTGAATTCAACTTCAGATGGATCTGAATCAAAGAAATTTTATTTCATAATCTTTATAGTCTGAATTAAGTATTTTCATACGGTGTTAAATAATTCAAACTTACCTCAGATCACAAATCTATGTTTGTTATCTTGAGTTAATCATATACAGGACTGAATTAATTTTCTAATTGTGTAATCTAGTCAGTAAAGACTGAAACTGATTTTCAAACAAGCCATTTTAATGTATACTGAAAATTCTACAACACACTTTAGATGTTTAAAAACACTGACTGCTATAACCAGCTGATTTTTGTTAGCTTAAGTCAGCAATAATCAGTCAACACTACTGACCCACTAAGCTTAACCTCAGGGTTAATGACCAAAGGGTACAGGGTACATGTGCTATGTTTACGGCTTAGAGTTTGCTGTGTCAGCCTGGACCATGATGATTAATCGTAAAATAACGATGTTACCACACTTATCCCATTTTTTCACTATACACTATAAATGTCACGTATAACTGTAATCCACATCGTGAATATTACTACACATATATAAATTTCACTGTTAATATATATTGAAAGCTTACCACTTTATATATAAAGGGAGACTATAAGAAACAAACATTAACACATTCTTGACTCGTATTTCTGTCTATAAACATTATAAACTCTGTGTATATATACACTCAACAAACATCATCGCGTTTGGTTGTGTTGTTGGTCTTAGTCACAATATTCGAGATTGGACAGTGTGCAGATGTGGGTGAGTCACCCAGCACCCGTTTTCTTTGGTGTCCGCTGGGTGAGCGCCCGTTTTCTATTGGTAACGCAGGTGAGCGCTCGTTTCTATTGCTGCCCCTTTCTCTTTGATTGAGTCTGGAGGACTCATATATACTGATTTTAAATTGTAAAACACTAGTTTTACAGCTTTATCGACGACCTTGGCTCATTGGTATTTTACACTGTGTACACAAAATTTTGGACCACAGTGGGTCTTACCGGTTTGAGCACACTAAAAAAGCTCTTTGAGAATTTGCCTTACCAGCTAAGAATAATTATATAATGAACACTTAGCTGAGATCGGACACAAATCGTCCTACACAGCGTTCCCTGCCAGACAGGGCTAATGCTGTCAGAAAACCATCACAACAGTGGCTGTCAAGAATACAATTGTAAGTATCAATTACCCCTAGGTTGTTTTATGTCGCATATATTCATTCGATGATGGCTGACAAATACTTACTTTTTGGACTCAAAAGTCCACACCTTAACTGCCGATAAAAGGTTGATTACAAACTCCCTTGTGACTCAAAATGCGCAATCCCCCGTCTACAAGAAATTCTAACATACCTGCCTCTTTGTAACGTGAGCATGGTGTTCTCAACACCTTCGACAGATAAGGTGACTTGATAGACGCTGAAGTGTCCCTTGATGTCACGTCTTCCATTGTCTAGGACACGCACACTGGTACACTATGTTTCAACAAGATTCGTCTTTTATTGTTCACAAGGAATCACAAGAGAAAGCTGATCACACTTCATCTAAGTGTTTATTGTGTTGTGGTTATCACTGATTCACACTAAACGCACAGATCATTGTCCTTTGCAGTTTATCCGGCGTCAGTGTGACTCTCTCTAGAGTCAAAAGTAATCTGCCAACGCTACAGGCTCACCCGTCCACTGCCCCTGCACAAAAAAAAACGCAGACCCTATACCATTGCACCTTGTCAGTCACCCTCCTCGAGAAGCAAAGCACCAGAATGTTTGTTTCTTGCTGTCTTAATCATAAACAAAGCAATGTACACAAGTCTATCTCTCTCTAGTTGGTAATATAGTGGGAGCAGGATTTTCCTTAATGGTCCTGCTAAGTAAGAGTTACTGTCCGTCATAAGAAGAAATACACGTTGCAACACCCCAGCAAGACAGAGGTCATTTGACCACGCATTCCCGCATCAGATGATCAATTACTCACTCTAGCAGTAAACAAGACGCTCGCCCCCTTCTAGTGGCCCCTCAGGCTGAGAGGGCTGAAGGGGGCTGAAGGGGGCATGAAGGGGCTGATACTAACCCCCCTCCTGAGAAAATTCCCACAAATATATCTAATGAGACTTTCATGTTATGAACGCAGTAAAAAAATCGACAAACAGAAAAATCAGACAACGCAAAAGCCGCCTCCCTACAGGGATACCCAGCACACTTAAGTCTTGAGAGCCAAAAAATAACCATTGCAACAGTTTGGTATCTTTATTCGAAACGTTCGTCTACACAGTAGCTTGTTCAGTCGAGTACAGAAAGTTTATAGAAGAGACGTGAAGAAACGATATAAACAGTCCATCACCCTTGAGGTTTTGAGTGGTCATCCTCCGTCTGGATAAAGTATTGATTTCGAGACTCTGGAACAATCTCTTCTTCAGACTGAGGGACTGACCACCTCAGAATTTCAAGGGTGATGGACTGATTACATCGTCTTCACGTCTCTTCTATCAACTTTTCTGTACTTGACTGAAGAAGCCTACTGTGTAGGCGAAACGTTTCGAAATAAAGATACCTAACCGTTGCATATGTGTCTTACCCAACAACCTGTCGGTATTTTATACAATTTTAGCATTCAAAAAATAATCTTTACCGTTACAGTCACCCATAAGTTCTAAATTCATTTAATATTATATCTAAATATTTTATGCCATATACTTTCATAAAATAGAGAATATTTTGTCTGACAAATATAAACAAATGATTTATTATTTACCAAATTTACCGTACCTGGTATGAGTTGATGCTTTCTTCATATTTCTTCATTATATTTGCCATCGCTTTAACCTCCTTGTTCAGGCCGTCGTTCTGTTCCCCTATTTTCATCTGTTCTTGTTTCCATAATTTCATTACGTTCTCTGATGTAGATTCTTTGAGAGAAGAAATTTGGCAATATATTAATTTTAACCTAACTCGCAACAGTACAAAGATAACAAATACGTATTTACAATTACAGTACATCAACACTGATTTTTGTCTTTGTTGATGTGAGATAAACATTAATGCCGCTACGTGAAGCCTTAATGACAATAAGTATATAAACCTTGAAGGGTGGAGTGTAGTGTATTTATAAGGATGATGAAGCGAGGTGTGAGTCAAGACTCATCACTTCCTGTACGACAGAGAACTTTCCTGACCAGAAGTTCAGTTAAACTGTAGAAAATGCTATTCTGGTAGACAGTTTTTTTATCTCCTTGGTAATTAATGGGGTTACATTCCAATTTAATCAAGTTATTGTTGGAATTTCGGTGGATCTAGCAGCAGTGTTCAACTTGTCCTCTTCGCTGGTATACAGTTTCTATGAAGAATAGTGCAAACATCTGGTGGAATAAGATGTTTTCTGTCTCTTAATATCCACGATAACAGTAGAGGGATTGGTGGTTATACTGAATTTGCTATTGTTGTAGATCAAGATACCTTTTTTGGGTAGTGTCGAGTCTGAGAGAGCTGGTATATAAAGCTTGTTTTCAATTCCTAATGGAGCAAAGAGGGACGTGTTCCTGCCTTGAACGCATCTTCCCGAGCTTACATTAACCCCTTTCATTTCATCGAGGACTGTCGACGAGAACTCTTTACGTATCATCTACGTTTCAGACCTACACTGTCGATTGAGGTACAGATCTAGTATTGGGTCGCTCTCTCTCTCCATCTATCTAATCTCATTCCACCTCCTTTCCACCCCTCCTTCCCTCCTCTTTCTCTCCCTCCCCCTCTTACCCCCCCTTTTTTGGCTACATTCAGGCACTGAAATTATAGCTCCTTTGCTTGAAGAAACAGTATCATGTCCATCCCATCTAAGGAATGGTGAAACTGATTTCCGCGCTCCCGGAGAGCGGCTTTGGAGTGTTTTCAAAGTTGACGGGTGATCTCAGAGGCTGTGGTCGTTTCCGGCGGTGAGGCCGAGCGGTAATGCCTCTCGTCTGGTATTTATCGACCGCTCTGACATATGTCTACCGAGGTTGCTCGTGATGTGAGTTGTTTATCCAGGATTAATCGTTACTTTGAATGAGTTTCAGAGTTTCTGTACTCTCAGAGCCCGGGAGTAAGTAGATTGCGTTTGTATGCACATCGCACTAACGGTCCGCGCCGAGTCTTCATGGAAGTGGAGTGGATATACAGTCTCTTTTTGTTCCTTCTTTTTATAATGAATCACTTATTCAACATTCATCACTGGCTGGTGAAATCGTCGTCACAATAAACATTCCAAAACTTGCACGTCACATTCTTCAATAGTCGTACCCATTTAAATAATTTGTATTGTATACTCCCTGAGTTATCACTTCCCGCTCTTCCTCAACATCAGCATCTTTTACCGACCCCAGCACTTACTAGGTTACACGTACAACGTACAAGCCTCAGGTACACGGTACCAGTGTCAGTACATGGTACTAGTGAACATTAAAATGTATAAAAAACCGACAGTTGTTAGGTAAGACATCATATGCAACAGTTAGGTATCATTATTTCAGAAACGTATTTCGCCTACCTATAGCTTCTCAGTCGAAGTACAGAAAAGTGATATAAAGAAGCAAAGAGACTTGATACGGTTGGTAAAATCAGTCCATCACCCATGAAATTCTGAGGTGTCAGTCCTCAGTCTGAAGAAGAGTATTGTGTCAGACTTGGAACAATACTCTTCTCCATACTGAGGACTGACCACCTCAAACTCGAGGGTGATGACTGATTCATGTCATCAAAGCTCTTCGCTTCGATCAACTTTTCTGACTCGACTGTAAGCCTACTGGTGTAGGCGAAACGTTTCGAAATAAAGATACCTAACTGTTTGCATATTGTCTACTTACCTAACATCCACGTACTAGTCTCAAGTACACGGAACTAGCTCAGTACACGTACCATCTCAAAACACGGTACCTAAGTCACCCAACTAACTCACAGTATCTTATTGTAAAACACTGAAACACTGCCCTGTGAGAACTGCCAATTATAATATCATTCATCCTCTTCTTACTAGATTGTGCTGGCTGTCAGCGGCATACAATGTTACTTCTGAGGTCTTCAATTCCTCCCTAAAAAAATTCCCACACTCAACCCTGACCTCCTCGCTGCAGTTCCACCTCTGACACAGACTCCCTCTTGATTACATTTTCCCTTTAGTATTCTCACTATCTTGCTAACTCTACTTCATTGCACATGCCTTACCACTGGTCTCTGGCCTTTGCATATTTCCTTCTTAAGTACATTCCCATCCTGCAGTGCTATATACGACCCTTCGAGTTTAGTGCTTAGTTAATTACATTATAATTTCTACTACATGAAAATTTTACCAAACAGAAATATCATCAACATCCTTTGTTAACAGAAACACACAGTTTTTTAGTCTTTGGGACTAAAACAATGTTTTTACTAATATTGAGAGACCTCCAGAAGCATATTTCAAAACCTGTATACCATTTAGAGCACAACTTAAGTACACTTCACATTGTCCCCCAAAATTTTCAGCATCAGCTTGTTACCTAGGAATGGAGCCCAAGTGACTGCCATGGAACAACATTCACTGAGAGGGAGTCCTGAATCAGCCCTCAAACATTATAAAGAAATTTTAACACAAAATTTATACACAGTTAGCAAAACATCTGACCAAAAGACTTCGTTCTGGATGTTTGGTAAATGAAGTGTTGACACCTCACCTCAGTACTCAGTCACCTCACCTCATTCCCACTCACCTCACCTCAGTTTACAACTCACATCACCTCAGTTACCACACACAACTCACCTCATAACCACTCACGTCACCACAATTACCACTCACAGTCACCTCAGTTAACACTACACTTCACCCTCAGTTACCACTCACCTCACCTCATTACCACTCACCACACCCAGTTACCACTCACATCACTTCGTACCACTCCACATCACCTCATTTATACCACTCACGTCACCACAGTTTACACACTCTCTCACTCATTACCACTCACATCAACTCAGTTACCACCACCTCACCTCAGTTACCACCACCCCTCACCTCAGTAACCACTCACTTCACATCAGTTACCACACAACGTCCACCTCAGTTACCACTCATCTCACCTCAGTTAACCAGTCACCTCACCTCAGTTACCACTCACACTCACCTCAGTTACCACCTCACCTCACCTCATTTACCACTCACCTCACCTCAGTTACCACACACCTCACCTCAGTACCACTCACCTCACATCATTTACCACTCACCTCACCTCAGTTTTACCACTCCCACCTCACCTCAGTTTACCATCACCTTCACCTCAGTTACCACACACCTCACCTCAGTTCCCACCACCTCACCTCGTTACCACTCACCTCACATCCGTTACCACTCACACTCACCACAAGTTTCCACTCACCTCACCTCATTACCCGTCACCCTCACCTCAGGTACTACACTAAATACCCACCAAACATTCTCTCCTGGCATGTCTATCTATCTTTCACGTGATAAAGCCCTTCGTGTGGGTCGAAACGTCATCATAATGCTTCCACTAACTTACATTTGCCTCTTTTTCAACACTATTGGTATTTCACACCACTTTCTGTTATTTAATGACTGTTTCCCCTGGCATTTTTTTTAAACTTACCGAAAGTATGAAGAAACTTAAAAAAACAGTATGCTTACTTATTTAGAAAGTTTTCGGCTGTTTTTACTGAATCTCGGCCGTTACGTTGCTTAAAAATCATTAATGGGTTTTATATAGAAACGTCCGCTCCCAAAAAAGGGTTTTCACAAGCCCTCCCGTCCTGTTGTTATGCATTTAGATGTCGTATTAATGTTGGAAAATTACCCATTATACAAATTTTAAAAAAGGGACAGTGCAACAATGTGAATTTTTTTTGTGGCAAGTTTCGCTTCCGGAGTTTTTAAAAACTGAGAAAGGGGAACACTGCAGCAGGCCGTTGGCCATACTAGGAGGTCCTTCACAATCCTCCCCCCCCTTTAAAACATTTGCCCAAAACCCCCTTTCAAAGTACCCTGAAAAAGCTTGAAAACTTACCATCGAATATGCAAGTCTCACTCAAACCCAAATCCTCTACTCATATTTTACCCAAACCCAAATTTGAAATTCCAAAAACCCCAGCATCATAACCCAACTAGTAGCTGTTCCACTATCAACTACCCCTTTTTTTCCCAAAACCCAAAAATTTTCCCATTCCTTTCTAAATCTAAATTGCCTATTTAAATCAACGGGGTTCTTTTTGGGAGATACCCAAGACCCTTTTTAAATCCCCTTTATTTTAAACCTATCTTCCATTTTACACTTCGATCAGGTCTTCCCCCTTCGTCTAAAAGTGAATGTAATTAAGAGTCTTCTTTTCTTCAAAAGGAAAATTTCTAATGCATGTATTAATTTAGTCATTCTACCTGAAAGTTTTCTAACGAAATTTTTGTCCCTTCTGTAATACGGGCCAGAATTTTA